GAGGGATCCCCCCGTCTGCAGTGTCCCCCTCACAGCCCCCCCTGCACAGCGCAGCCCCCAGCCCTGGCCACCTCGGGAGCCTCCGCTGGGCTCTCCCGCTGCCGCCCCATCTCGTGTCCCAGGCAGCCTGAACCGGGCACGGCCTCCTGGCAGGGTCCCACCGGTGCCGCGGGAGGGACGGATCCGTCCCCTCACGCCGCTGCCTGCGCATGCCGTCGGCCTTCGCCACAGGGACGCGCCGCTGTCACGCTGCCACCTTCCTGTCCTCCGGGGCCTTTTCGGCAAAGCTGCCTTCTAGGCAGCGGCCCCAGGCTGCCCTGTGGCAGAGGATTGCTCTGTCCCAGAAGCTCGACTTTGCGTTTGCATTTGAACTCCATCATGTTCTTGCCATCCTGCGTCTCAGGCCTGTCAAGGCACCTTTGAGGAGTAGCTCTGCCCGTCAGCTTGTGGACTGCTCCCTCCAGTGCGGTGTCGACTGCCCAGTGTGTGCAGCGTCCCGTCCTCCAGTGCCTGAACGCGAAAGGCGTTAAGTGGTGTTGGCCCCTCACTCGGTCCCTGAGGCTCCTTGTTGGCAGCCGACCACCAGCTGGGCTTGGGCCTTGGCTGTCCAGACACTTTTCCGTTCACCTGATTTGATTATCAGTCCGCGTGTCCCCCACGTGTCTGGAAGGGTGCCGTGGGAGGCTGCGCCAAAACCCTGCATCAGGTGAACAACATCCGCTACTCACCCCTTGTCCGCACAGCCGCTCGCTGACCGTGGGAGCCGGCAAGGTCGGTCGAGCACGATTTGCCATTGGTGAGTCCGTGCTGGCTGCCCCCAGTCCCTTTCCCGTGTGCTGTGGGATGGCCAGTGGTTTCTGGGAGCATTTGCACCGTAACTTTGCCAGAGGTGGGGGCGAAGCTGACTGACCTGCGGTCTTCAGGACCCTCTTTCTCGGCAATCTCGCAGGCTGGCGTGATATTTGCCTTTTTCCAGCTGTCAGGAGCCCCTCTGTGACATTGAGCGCTCACAGGGACATCAGCCGTCCCCCTCGCGTGTGTCCTGTGTGGTGCCATGGGCTTGTGCGTGTCCGGTTGGCTTCAGCAATCCCTCCCTTGATCTTCTGCGTAATGCTGCGTTCCCACAGACTGCCTCAGGGCGCAGGGTCTCAGGAGGAACAAGGCAAAAAGACATGGATCACCTCGGCCCTTCCTGTGTCTTCCGTCACTGGGTCCCTTGCCCCGCTCAGCACCCAGCCTTCCCGCAGAGGTCAGGGTGGTTGGTGTCCCACACGGGGACCAGGGCCTGCCATCATGACCTTTTCTTTAGCTGTCTAAAGAGGATGTCCCCATCACTGCCCACGTGGTTGTTACCTGCCTCGAGGCGAGGCTCTATGTGGTCAGGCTGCTTTGTGCAGATCTCAGCCCCTCCTACTTGCCTCCTTGCTGCTCGTTCCCAAAGAGCCTGCACCGTCCATCGCAGCTCTCCCCTCGTGTATGGGTCCCAGCAGGGTCGTACCTTTGCGGGCGTGCGCAGGCTCCCGATTCTTCCTGCTTGTTCCCCTCTTGCACGCGTGTTTGTGCAGGCTCTAGAGATGGAGACCTTTCACGGGGAAGGGCGCGAGCCTCCCCCATTGTGGTGTTGCCCAGACATCATCACTGTCCCCCGCTTCTTTCTAGGGCTACCAGTGCGGGCCACCCAGCCTGCCTGGCCCCTGCCTGCCCTCCACCAGTAGCGTCGGGGTCCCTGCCACCCCTCCCTGACCTGTGCCCACCTTGCAGGCATCCCTTTTCAGGCCGTGACGTGCCCATCTCTAACGGCTCGGGTTTCCTGGTGTCCCCGGACGGGCTCATCGTGACCAACGCGCACGTGGTGGCGAACCGGCGGCGCGTGCGGGTGAAGCTGGCCAGCGGCCTGCCTGCCCTCCACCAGTAGCGTCGGGGTCCCTGCCACCCCTCCCTGACCTGTGCCCACCTTGCAGGCATCCCTTTTCAGGCCGTGACGTGCCCATCTCTAACGGCTCGGGTTTCCTGGTGTCCCCGGACGGGCTCATCGTGACCAACGCGCACGGGGTGGCGAACCGGCGGCGCGTGCGGGTGAAGCTGGCCAGCGGCGAGCAGTACGACGCTGTGGTGCAGGACGTGGACCAGGTTGCAGACATCGCCACCATCAAGATCAAGCCCAAGGTCTGTGCCGTGGCTGTGGAGATGCTCCCTTCGTTCCCTCCCACCTGCTCACCGCCCTCCTCTCTTTCAGCACCCGCTGCCCACCCTGCCCCTCGGGCGCTCCTCTGAGGTGCGGCAGGGGGAGTTCGTGGTGGCCATGGGCAGCCCCTTCGCCCTGCAGAACACCATCACCTCCGGCATCGTCAGCTCTGCCCAGCGGGGCAGCCGGGAGCTGGGCCTGGCCACCTCAGACATGGAGTACATCCAGACCGACGCTGCTATCGACGTAAGGGCGGCGCGCGGCGGGTTAGCGCCTCATCCCGGGTGCCCTCTTTGGGGAGGGGGGAGCTGGGGAGGGGCTGCGGGTGCCGTGAGGTCAGAAGGGGCTGGACACAGAGCACTGGAAGGTGACAGGAGTCTGTCCAGTTGCCCGGGCTCTGGCTGCGTTTCTCAGCCTGACCCTGTTCTCTGGACTCTGCCGCCCTGCCGCGGGTCCTGCTGGGCGAGGATGTTGCTTTCGTGGCCTGCTCACTGCTCTCTCCTCTGCTGCAGTTCGGGAACTCTGGGGGCCCCCTCGTCAACTTGGTGAGTTCTGCTGCTTGCACCCTCGCTGGCTGGGGGAGAGGCGT